AAATTTGCAAGCTGTAGTTCCAAAATTAATTCGTTAGTTAGTTTGTTCCTTGTTCCCACTTCCCTCCTAGAAGTCAAAGTTAAATAGCTAATCACTGATGTAACCACCATTTAGATGCCATGATAACTCTTTCTTTTAGATCTTTACTGATATGAGACATCGAAGTTATATAACTGTTTCTTGAGGAACATGATATGGACATGTATTTGTTGCTCTTGTTTAATCATTCAATAGTGAGCATGAAAACTCAAGAGTAAGGTCTTGGTACCCTCCATCAAATATTATTTATGTTTTTTTTTGCTTTTATGTTTTGATGGTATTTGCTTCTACCACATTGAAAAGGCCTAAATTGCTTTTATGATTTGGCAGCTTGTAGTTTAGTTGATGTAGCGGACAAAATTTGCAAGCTGTAGTTCCAAAATTAATTCGTTAGTTAGTTTGGTCCTTGTTCCCACTTCCCTCCTAGAAGTCAAAGTTAAATAGCTAATCACTGATGTAACCACCATTTAGATGCCATGATAACTCTTTCTTTTAGATCTTTACTGATATGAGACATAGAAGTTATATAACTGTTTCTTGAGGAACATGATATGGACATGTATTTGTTGCTCTTGTTTAATCATTCAATAGTGAGCATGAAAACTCAAGAGTAAGGTCTTGGTACCCTCCATCAAATATTATTTATGTTGTTTTTTGCTTTTATGTTTTGATGGTATTTGCTTCTACCACATTGAAGAGGCCTAAATTGCTATAATGCATTATTAATCGATTGCCTTATGCACGAATTGTGGTGTTTCAACAAATAGATTCTGAGAGATTTTACCTAAAAAAGTTAACGCATTGAACTTATTTAGAGAAACACGAAATATTTCCCTGAGCATTGTGGTCTAATTTGCAACATATGTTATTCCTTTCAGCTGAATACTTTAGCAGTTGAACAAGATTTTCATAATCTCCGAAAGGAATGTGAAGAGAAAGATGCCGCAATCAAGGAGTTATCCACTTTTCTTCAGTCATCAGAAGCTTTTGGTGCAAAGGTACTGTATTGTTCTTTGTACATTATTAAAGAAGAGAAACTTGTGGTGTTCTTTGTAAACAAAAATTGGTAAAAACCATCCTTATTATTACTTATAATTTTGTTCCATCTGTTTGGTCTAACAGAGGATTGGTGAGCTGGAAGATATCATCCGCAGAAAGAATACGATTATAACTAAGCTCAAGAAAGATATTTTGATCTTAGAACAGAAGGTAATGATGCCTCGTAACAGATGCTAGCATTTGTGTGATGTTCCGTATATGTCATTGGAATTGTTGCAGCAAGATGTTGTCAAGCTAATATACAAAATAGTAGTAACTGTTTGTTCCCAAGATTTAAAGAACTATTTTTTGTAAATCTACATTGATACTAATTACCTTTTGATTACTGAAAAAATGTCTTCCTGTAAACTGGATTATGGAAGCAAATGCCTAACAGTATATTTGCTTGAGCACAGTTGAATTTCTTGAAACAGAATGTCCAAACCTTATGTTTCCACTACACGTTATTTCTACTTAGTCTAGTAACATGATTTATTAGGTCAAAGCAAAGGTTGGCCTATATATGGCGTCAGCTTAGTATCAAATTTCATGCATTGTGATGGAAATTGGCTTTTAACAGGTCGTGAATCTAACAAGACTTAGAAGACCATCTTTCTCTTCAACAAGCTCAAAGGTGGTGCAGCTTCCTCCATTGACAGATAACATTCTTTATGGCATGGACAGTACTACGAGCCCTTCGTCTTCAGATTCAGATAGCTCCCCGAGGAGAATGGCTCAAGCTATTACTGCCAAAAGTCAAGACATCCTCATTGAGCAGTGTGAGAGTGCTTTAAGGGAAAACCAGAAAGAGCAGCAGGTAGAAAGCATACCTGTATTGGTGAAACCAACAGATAGACATCCAAAGTCACGACCAGTAAGCCCATTGAAGGAGAAATCCTTGAATCAGACTCATGATTCAGTCTCCAAATTGAAACCAAAGCAGGTATCATCTGTTAGCGCAGAATCTAGGAGGAGGCGACCCCCTGTTGCTAAGTCGAAGTATGCTGTTACAGAAAAACGTTGGCTTTAGTAAGTATTTCTCTTTCTAACTCAAGAGAATACAATTACTAGATTTACTTTCAAACCCTTGGTTTACATTCTAGTGGATATAGCATTACCAAAAGCTTTACCGAATCATGACAGAAGAAAACCTTGTATCGTGTTTGTTCCGTTACATTGAATCTCTCTTCACCATAAGTTCATATAAATCTTGAACGAGTGAGGACAGAAACCTATGTAGCTAGAAATATGAGTTAGTATGTAAAGAACATAGACGCACAACAACACAGTTTAAACACAGAACACCTAACATTAGCCTTTTATTGTTTTTCTTATTGTGGTTAACTTTTGTTCCATTCTTCAGGCTATCGAACGAGCATTTGACAAGTAGTATAGGTATTCTGAAGTAAAAGAAGTTCCTGGCCTGGTGTGGACCTGAAAGCGCTTCAATGCTGCTTCATCCAACTCTATCGCTGCTTCTGCCACCTCCATTGTTTCCTTCAACGAAGATGTCAACTTGACAGCATTATATGTAGGTAGTAATAGTAAGAGTACATGAATTTGGACATAAAAAGTGATGTAACTAGTCTTACATTTAGTTAAACTTGTTACTATATATTGTAGAAAGAAGAACTGTTTCATGAATTGGCTATTATGCTATCTATGTACTGTCCCAGTGGTTGTTTCAGGACAATCTCACAAGTCTGTTATGAGATGCGTTTTGCTTCTTCCCAAGTCTTTATATGGCAATTTTTTACAACACAATGTTGATTTGGTTTCTTAGAACATTGCTTGTACTTATACATGGACATCAACATACATCATTTGGTTTTCAATACAAAACTCTGCATTACCAATTTAATTTTTGCATAACTAATACATGTTTAATTTCTGCTATTAAATTCTGCATAATTAATTCAATATTTAGTTTCCGGTATTAAACTGAGTAAATTACCTATTATTTACACGGAACATAATAAGGAATAAAAATACGTGAATTAGTAGTATTCACGCGTGTCAAATACTATTATTCAGTGTATAAAATTTTTTACATTATTATTTATGGCATGCTATTAATCGCGCACGTCAATTAGAAAATCTTTACCATATTCCAAAAAGAAATTGTTTGTTGTAAGTAGGACACTTGGATACATCTTGTTGGCTATATTGATTAAATAAAAAAAACTTTGTCATTTGATGGGAACACCTATACCTATGACACATTATATTGTCTAGTACTCCACTAAGTGCCAATTAAATTACTTAGGTATTTCCTGTTTTCGTAAATTTTATTATCCACTAGTTTTCTATATAGTGTAGCAGACTATACATATTGATAGGAATTGTTCCTCCTTGTGTTATGGAAATTTAGACTGAAATTAGCTTAGAGTATTTGTTTTTTGTTCATACGATATTGTCAGCTCGTTGTATCGGAGCAATAAGTTAAAAATGTTATATCGACCATCAATAAATTTGACACTAATGAAATTGAATCTTTTTAAAAGAGGACTAGATATCCGCGCTCTATCCTAAAAAATTTCTTTATAATATGTAGGTATAAATTGAATTTTCATGGTTTCACCAACATATTATATCAATATATACAATTAGTATTCCTTACTGCATGCTAATTATGGTAGAGACCGCTTCCACTTTATAGGTCTTACCCAATTGAATTCGAATTAATCAATGCTCCAATGTGGATAACGGACATCAATGAAAAACCAAAAAACAAAAGATAAAGTTCAGGGCCGTTGAGTTTTTTCTTAATTTGCATGTATTCTTAAGCTTCACCTCAAAACCAAAAAGATGTGCAGACCTAATCACTATTCAAGAATAGTTAAAAGAAAATCACTATTCAAGATTCAAGATTTTTTTTGAATAAGACACTTGAATTCTTCAATTAAGTATATTCTTCCCTCGTCGTAGGTTATTATTTCCTCCCGTCCACAATAAGTGACCATTTTACTTTTTTATTTTGGTCTAAAATTAGTGTCCATTTACATAATCAAGAAGAAATTAATTTTATTTTTTCAAAATTTGCCCTTATTTACATATTCCAATGTGTCAAAGTAATAATTAATTAATGTTAATTTAGTAAATACATCTTTTTTTTTCTCTAAGAATTCGTATTTCCTTAATGAGTGTGCCAAAGATAAAATGATCACTTATTGTGGACCGGAGAGAGTATATTATATTCTTCCGTCATCGTAGGCATTTTTGTAAACCAATGGCAACCAACTTGCACCTAATTAATAGAATTATTGTTCTTGAAATTTGAAACTTCCACAACAATGATAAAATACGACTGTTCTAAGCTTCTCGAAAACCTTTCTTAGAAAAAATAAGTTTATTATTCTGCAAGATCTTAAAAATATTAAAAAAACTTTTCAAAAGTGAAAGTTCTACATTTTTTAAATTTTATTAAAATAAATTTCCAGAGAAATGATTTAAATGACTAAGATAATAGTATAGATTATAATTTTTAAGCCTAATGTTCTTTTTTTCAGCATTTGTAACCTTAATGTCTGCTATTGACTTATAGAAATTATGAAGTCTTTGCTAGCATCAGAACGACAAAGATGAAGTCAAGGGCTATTTAATAATCTAGTGAATTGAAGTATTAAAACCAGCAAAATTAATGAGTTCTCACTTCAAATAATTCAATGTAATGATGTAAAAACAAAATACAACTTCCATGAAATGAGGGAGTACTTCCCGCCCGGTGACTGGTACTTACATTGGGGTTCGACAAAATCTGAATTCGCCATGGGAAGTCCCATATTAGGGGTAAAACGCTTCATAACAAAGACAATTTCATACTCAGGGCTCAAACCCGTAACCTTTAGTTAAAGATGAAGTAGTACTTACCACTCTTTTATTGGTATTAGATATCTTTGCGTATTTAAATTTCCCAACTCCTCCATATTTGACTTCCATTCTTCATCTTCCTATTTTTTCTTCTCTCTTTTTCCCATTAATATTCTCTTCTCTTTCTGTTTTCCCCCTAAACATCTCCAAGAAACCCTCAACACAACATCCTCTTTTTCTTTAAAATACCCCGTTTAAAAAAAGCCACTTTGATCTATTAAGTTTTCACAAGAAAAACACCCCCTTTTTAATGTGTTTTTTCAAGAAATGAAGTGATTTAGGTTTCCAATAAAAAACCCAACTTAGATCTTCATAACCTTATTCTCCCCTCTCCTTTCTTTATTATTTTCCCCCCTAAACTTCTCCAAGAAAACCTCAACATAACCAACCCCTATATGTCTTTTTACTCAAAACCCCATTTTTGATCTATAAAGTTTTCACAACAAAAAACACAACTATATATATATTGTCCAATTTACAAAAGAAATGCCCATGGAACGTTCAAACTCATCAAGAAGCACAAACTCTTCTTTCTCAACAACATCAAGAGTAAGTTCTTCCTCTTCAGTTTTGTCTATACAATGCTTAAAAGGAAGCTCAAAATCCGATGAATGGACTGAAAACATGCTACAAACGGGCGATATTGTGGAGTCGCTTCGGTTAGGGAACATGTTTCTCAAATCACCATTCAAGAATGGCAAAAATGGGATTCAAAAGATCATGCATACTTCTTATAAAGCTAAGGAGACTTCAATATGTGTTCGAGTTAGACGTGGATCTGATGAGTCATTCACCGAGTTACAGGTACTGAAAATTCGCAGTATTTCTGTCTGCTTTGATACCATATTAGAGAAAATACAATTTTATTTATATTATGTCTCGACAGGCATGTATCGTTCCGAACGAGTTTGCCGGAAGGAAACAATATATGCTTAGAGCTATTGATGATCCAAACTATGCCGTTGGTTTTGTTGATCGGACGGAAATGGAGTGTTTGGAATTACAAGGTATGTTTTTGTGGTTGACTTTTCTTTGTCTTTGACTTTCTGGTTCTTTCTACAGTAGTAGTTTGCTTACTATTCCTTTGTTTGCTGGTACAAGTTGCTTGGTTTCACACGTTTTAGTGGACTTTGTCTCCCTATTTTGCATTTATTTTGAAATGTTTCTAATCTTTTTTTAAAGAAAAGCTTAAAATAGCATTAGATTAGTGACCATTATCTTTGTATTCAAGATTCGATTTAACTCGTATTTTTCTAGTTGTGTTGTGTAATAAGACACATTTTCTTATCATTTTTCTAAGTTTTGGTTCCAGAGCCGAGTTAATCTCTCTGTCCTCACAAGGTAGGAGTAAGGTCTGCGTACACACTACTCTCCCCAGATCCAATTATGTAGGATAATACTGAGTATGTTGGTGTTGTTTTTTAAGTTTTTGTGAATAGAGTTATTCGATATTTCTCGATATTTACTTGATAGATTAGTCGTGATGATCATATATATAATATTTGAGATGAGAACTAAGCAAATTAAGTTGATTCTTGAGAAATTCGGAATTATCGAATTTTAACAAAATCATAGGAGTAACAACTTAGCATAAAACATCGTATTATTGAACTGAATTATTACATACTATTACGTGTTCCTAAGATATAGGAGTTGTTGATTTTAATTTGACGAACTATCAGAAGTTGAGAAATTTTATTTCAGCAAAAGAAAGAACTTATTTGTCCTTATTATGTTCTTTTATTGAACAATATACCATTTCTCAAGAAACTTAATTTCGTCTTACTTAGGTCAAATGTTCATATTATGCCGAAACTTGGAATTCAAATAGAAAGACAATGTAAAACACATTACTTAATGATTCAATTTAGTTAAATTCATCGATAGTGTAAAGAAATTTTTAGACCATTAATGAAATTAAGCTGTTGTAAATAGTCAATCGTGTAATTTTTCTGATTACTAATAATTCCACTTGTTATGTGTAGTTGTAATTGCTTTTTAAAAACTATCCGTATATAAAAGTTAAACTCTCCATTTAATTGCTGAATATATTTGAAGCATTTATCTTTCTGAACAAATATCCAAGAATATGAAGTATGCAATGATATATCTTGCACTTAATTATCTTATCTTCTAATACATGCTTTATATCTTCAATCTTAGAAATAGTCATTGAATGGTTTCCTATAATACAAGCTACTAATATCTTGTCTACCATTTCGAAAATTGCAAATGAACAAACTTGTTAGAATACACAAAGTTTTCAAATGTTTGACAAAATAATTTAAAAATCCAAGTTGGAATTATTTAATCCTATATCACTTTCGAGGCCTTTTTCTTTTTATTGGTAAGTTATATTTTTCAGAAAATATTATTAAGGTTGTTGTCATGCATGCCTTTTGACTAGGTATTTTCTAACCTCTCAATGATATATTTTTTAATTGGTAATTGGTACCTTGTCACACTGACAAAGATTTATGCATTAAACTAACTTAATTTGTCTACATGGCCTGACCTAGTTTCTTTGTCCAAATTTGATAGCTAACTAATAGCTTCAAAATCAGATTAAATAATGGAAAATAAAGGATCTCAGGGTTTAAAAAATCAATAAGTGATCATTACAACGAATTATATTAACTTATCGCGATTAAATAATACAATGAGATGAGAATATATCGAGTTTGACCATGTCTACATGATAAAAATATATGTATATATACATATCATATGCATTTATAATTAAATACAAGTGCGAGTAAATTTCTCCTATCAAAAAGTTTCCTTTGAGTTAAGGTTAATGGGACGTGGGAGAGGAGGGGCTATGATGTGTCCATAGAACTCAATACACCAATTTATATGATACGATTCGCAAATAGTTCGTAGAAAATTACAAGTCTATTCTAGTGCCATTATTAAATGAACAGCTTAAGGAGGCCAGACTAATAATTTTAAAGGGTTATTTTACAAACTTTAATCGAATATTTCTAAGATTAGGATATTAAAATTCTCAAATGGATTCATCAGTGAGAATTTATATTTTTTATTTGGAAGCAAAAGTTGTTGCTAAAGTCAAAATCAAGTACAAGTTAATCAAAGGAAAAAAATGGAGAAAAGGTTATAATCCAAAACAATTATTTGTGAATATCGCACACATTATTATTCACATCTAAAAAAAGGGGCAGCTCGATGTACACAATATTCTGCATTCATACAGGGTTCGAGGAAGGGACGCACTTCAAGGGGTGTGATGTAGACAACTTACCCTAATGCAAGCATTAGTGGTTGTTTCCACAGCTCGAACCCGTGACCTGTAGGCCATACAGACAGAGACATATGTAGTATATACGTAACGGATTGAACTGAATCCATAACTTTCGATGCAGAGCATAAGTTTATGTACAAAATCTAGTAAAATTGTAACAAATAATAGATATGAGCCCATAACTTTAACAATATAATAATTTCAATGCTAAAAATCTTAGAGGCTAAACCCTTATAGTTTAAATCCTAGATCCGCATCTGCATACGAAGACAACTTTATCGTTGCAACTCTAACTAATATAACAAATCTTATTGTATAAATGCAGCTTCAAGGAAATCAAGAATGGTGACAGCATTAACAAGGACTCCACTTCAAGAAGGATATGTTAGTTATCCATGGGAGAAGAGAATGAATGAATTGCTAGCAGTTCCAAATTCAAGTAGTTTTTACTCTTTGCTTCTCTTGCCAAAAGCCTCAGACAAAGTTTCTATTCATTATAATGATTTAGAAGACACCCTTTCTAGAGCTAATGCTTGGCTCAATGCTTCTCAAGCCTCTGGTGTTCCCATTGTGTTCATGAATATCCAGACTGAGTCTCTACTTACCAAGGTAAATATGATGTGTTTTTGTTTTACTATCATTTTTTACAAAATTTTTAACACTCTGTCAGGTCATCTAAATGATAATTATAGATAACTGTCTATAAAAAGCGAGATTAGTAACTTTTAAAGTAAGTCAAGTTTCCTGAACGACAGGTCAAAATTAATTTTTTTTAACGTAGTCGATGTATTCTTGAACTTACATGCACTGATAGCGTAAAACTCTTTTACACTATCAGTGCATTGTAACTTGTCATAGTAGGCAATCCACCTTATATGCACCGATAATATAGAATTATTTTTTGTACTATCGGTATATTTTAACCTATCGAAGCAAGAACCCGTCTTATTTTTCACGTTACTGATCTCATTATTTGTGCATAATTTATATGTAGTTATCTTTTAAATGCACAACCCTACTGAATACATACTGGTAGTGGAGTCCAGTTCTCATAACTTGATGTTTAATACTTTGCTAAAAATGTGAAATACAATGATTTTCTATGTAAAATCAACTAATGACAATTAACTTTCTTCTTCTCTGTTTTCTATTAGATATCTGGGGAAACAGCTTCTTGCACAGTAAATGCAGGATCACTGTCTGATTTGACAAACCTTGCAAATGCAAGTTTGTATGGCTTTGAAGATTACCATGGAGTTGATATTGGTGTTGTCCGAGCCGTTCGTCTTTGGTTTTCCCCTCTTGGTGGAGAGATTCCTATTGAGATCAAAATCAAAGAAACTGATGTCAAACTTGGCTTTGCCATCAGCAGAACTGAAGAGGTAAATTTACTTATTTTTTCCATCACTTATACAAGCTTCTTAGTTTTGAGTCGTTGCGTTAGGGCAATACAACTACGAGAACTGGTCGTCCTAATGCTACAGTCAAACCTACTGTAATTGTCCTTATTACCACTCGTTCGCGTGGTTGTTTCGTAACATCACTAGTCATTATAGCACTAGTCTGTAATTCTCAAAAAACGGAGTCTTGACAGTTCAAGTGAAAGTCTTTTAATTCTGATATAAATAATAGAACATATGCATAGATTCACATGACATTTACTTTATGTGAAAACTTCACTGAACCATATTAAGTTTCTACTTTTTGCTCTTCATATTATTCTACCTCTTATCTATTGACTAATTTTTTTCTATAGGGGTTCATTCACATATCATCAGTCATTGAAGGTGATGAGGATGCACCATCCTCAAGATCAGGCCTTAGCAATCTATACAAAGAAGCAACCAAAGAGTGCAAACTTTTAGTTGTATCAAGAATTTCCAACCAAAAGGTCCTTCCATGGATTGTTTCTCCAACCGGGGCGGTCCGATGCTTCGACACTGTCTCTCTCAGCCAAAAACTCTCGTTGCATCGCCACGCAAAGGTTCCCATTCTCATGCACGTCTTTCTTTGGGACCGATCAGTCCCTGTGCCAAACGGTGGCAGCATTATTCGGTCGAGGACTATTTCCCCGACCATGCTGCCACCATTGCCACCTGAAGTTCGGTTGGCACGCCAACCGAACGAGAATCAGGTGATGCCATTGCCTCCGGAAGTTGAGGATGAGAGAGGAAACAATAGTGATGGATCGGAACTTAGGCTTGATAGGGACACTGCAGGGGAATCTTCTTTTCGTTTCCATGATTTCTCTCTACCAAATAATTGGGTGTAGTAATATTCTATTAATGTTATTTGATGTACATAGGGAAGTTCTGTAAGTTTTGATGTAACAGTGAGATGGCAATGCTTGAGTCAAGGATGTTGTACTTAATTGAAAGCTAACATTTGACACAAAACAAATAGATGTAAATGTTTTATGAGTTATTGAGGCTTTGTTGGTATAGTAGACCAGTTATTGCAAGTCCAAAACAATCATGTTTTCCTTTGATATTATTACTCAAAAAGCGTCTCGACAGTTGAATTCCTGATCCCGTCTTATATGAACTTTCCCTTCCATTATAATCACCCCCTTAAGGACTTGACATCCTCGCTGAAATTTTTCCCACCACCTTATTAGGAAAGTTACGATTCTGATACTGATATGGAACGATTTTCTAGTGCTTTCTGGTGATTTATCACTACCTTCATGTATAAATAGGAGCACACAATAAAGTGTCTTGAGAAATATTAGAGTTAGTACTAAGGTAGTAAAGTTACATACCCGTCATGTTAGGACTTAATTAAAAGCTAACACATCTGAGAGAAAGCAGATAAATGTAAATGTTCTTTGAGTTACTGCACATAATTTTGGGGCTAACTTTTTAGTCAAAGTCATCGAAATTTCTTCTGATTATGATCTTGATTTTTTTGAGCCAAACTGCTGGAGTATTGAAGAATGTTGAGCCATTGCAAAACTCACCAAATTAGCAACAGACTATGGGCATAATTGAGATGAATACTGCAAAGGGGAGTGTTGTTTTCGGGGTACAACAGAGCAAAAACTGCTGGAATGTCACCTAGCTAAGAAACCTCACTGAACAAAGAAGGAAAAAAGCAGCTGAATTAATCACTTAAACAGGCCAAACTCGATGCAATCACTATACATTTGTGCCGAATCATTGTCTCTGATATCAGTTGTTGAGTTAAGCTAAGCCAACCCAAAGATATGCCAAACATAGTGCGATATTGTCTGATTTGGACTAATCCCGCATGATTTTTTGTAAACGTCTTACACCATTAAAACTATCCTTACATCTTATATATAACTTCTTTTTCTTATCAATTTCTAATTTGATCGCACACCAAATAACACAAACACATGAAAGTAAAGTTTCAACTACCTTACAACTTGAGCATAGTTCCAAAAGGTATTATTTTGCAAGTTCAAATCTGATTGTACATTGAGAGAGTGGAAATAAATAATCTTGAAAAATCTAATTTTGCCACCCCCTATTAGATTTGTTTCTCTAGCTTTTGTCTCCATAAGGTTACCATATGAAAGATGCAAATAAAATAGCTTTAGAGACATGGTCTCTCTCAGCCAAAAACTCTCATTGCATCGCCACACAAAGGTTCCCATTCTCATGCACGTCTTTCTTTGGGACCGTTCTGTCCCTGTGCCAAGCGGTGACAGCATTAATCGGTCGAGGCCTATTTCCCCGACCATGCTGTCACCGTTGCCACCTGAAGTTCGGTTGGCACGCCAACCGAACGAGAATCAGGTGATACGACTGCCTCCGGAAGTTGAAGATGAGAGAGGAAACCATAGTGCTGAATCGGCGCTAAGGCTTGATAGGGACACTGCTGGAGAAAGAAAATTTTCTCTCAGGTTCCATGATTTTTCTCTGCCAAATAACTGGGTATATTAATTTTCCTCTAATGTTGTTTTATGTACATAAAGATAGAAAGTTTTGTAATTAATGGTGATGATCGACTTAAAGGGCATTCTGCTATCAAGTTTCAACCATTCTCTGTATATATAGTAACAAAAGAATACAAAAAACATAAAGAACAGGCAAGAATTAGAAGTTTTAATTATTTGTTGATCATATACAAACTACTCCATACGCTATTACAAATACATATCAATTCATGCTTATTTTCACTACTATTTAATACAGAATTACTTTGCTTTAAACAAAAGAGGGAGCCGCTGTTTATACTATAAATAACTTATTTCTTAGGGATTGAAGTTATAGTATCACTCGCAATTTCACCCGCCCCTTAAGTGAAAGGTTCCAAGAAAAAGAGTGAGGTGAAGAAGACATATCAAGCAATGAAAACTTTACTGTTCTAACAGTTTAAGCTTTTAGATAAGATATTTTCACAATAATTAAAATATTAACGAATTGACTAATGAAGCAACTCTAAGAGTATAAAAGAAAACATGACAATAGTAGATAAATAAGACATTCTGCCCACGCGAAGCTGCTAGGTGAAAGGAATGTACCATCATTATGTCATACTTAATGACATTTGCAGATTCTCCTCCACCTTTGCTATATGCTCCAAGAGGCGAACAAGTGAGTACAATATCTCTATCCTTGTCACATCTCTGTTTGCCTGATTTTAAACATACAAATTTTAGGTAGTGTTGAAGATGACAAAAGTACAAGCAATATTGTTGTACTGCAATAAGCATCCGATTCTTGATAAGTAGATACCTCTACAACGAACGTCGCCCATGTTTTGTCATTCCTCGTTTCCATAACCCATTGTAAGATGGTCAAGCCAATTCCTATTATTATGTTTGCTATTTCCACAAACAGAACTGGTTCTTCACAAAGCATCTGCATAAAACAGACATATTACAATAATGAGGTCTTGTGTCTGCTATGCTAGAACCATAAACAAGTTCACAAAAGCGTCAGAACTTGGTAATCTATACATATTCCAACCTCCACACGCATTTGACGAGGCCGATTCAGATCCTCAACTATTATAGGGCAGACCATAGACTTTGAACCAACTTCAAATGCCCATGTTGCTCCTCCTTCAAAGTTATCTTTTAGAAGGGAACCACCTTCCTTGCTTATAATCTGCAGGTTGACAACAGGGGGAAAGGTAGTTAGTAATTCTCAAGTAGATTCAGGCTTCTTGTATCACTTGGTAACACATCATTCTACCATTTTTGTAGAGACCACTAAAAAATGCAAAATGCGAAGTAGGAAACTTATGCTATTCCATAGGACAACATATGTTTAACTCTGTCCAACTCTATTCTTGGTGCATGAATACTCCTCTGCCCCACAACATCATCCTTGTCCTCAAGGTGATAATATTTATGTCCATTTAATGATTCCTATGAACTACTGAAAATACCCATTCGTAGTCCTTTCAAATGCATTTGAATGTACATGTCTGAGTAAATGGAATAGCATCCATCATTGACATTACGCTTTTATCCCATTGATATTATAACACAAAATTAGAAGCTTCTATTTAAAGTCTTTTTGGCCGCTTATTAAGGGTCATTAGGAATTTATACTAGTTACATGTCTTACAATATGGCAAGTCATAGACTCTATGGAATCAATACAAATCATGAGTATCAATCAACAATTTTGGCTTAATGATTCTGTAAGAAAACAATGATTGTTTAGAAAGAGCTCAAACCTGTTGCTCCTCATATTCAGATAACTTAGGCACCTTGGCTGACCTTTCTAGCTCGTCAGCTGGAAAACAAGAGTTTACAAAATCTGAACGCTTTCTTGGAATGGTGCTTTCTTTGTGCACTCCCGCAGCTTGTGTGTTAGGCCTTGCGGCATGAGTCAAGAAAGTTGTGGCGACATGACAGAACTGGTCACCTCCACTGGTTTCTTTAAAATATATATCAGCACCTTTAGCGTATTCAAGCTGATCACTGGAGCAACTCATGTCATTAACTTCAAGATGCTCCGTGCCAAGATTATTTCGAGCAGATTGGCTTGCTGCAAGTATACTAAAATTTAATTAGAATAACATAATCATACATGAAAAATATTACTGCATTCCATCAGAGATGTGATTGATCTGTTAGAAAGAATTTAGTTTTATTACCAAGAGTGGTTTCAGAGCCATAAACTTTTGCACCGACTGATTGCTGAAGCACTGTACTGTTAATTCTGTATTGCCTTTCGGATATCTTCATCATGCTTTCTTCCTCAACAGCTCTATTTGTTTGGAGCCTCACATTATTAGTTAGATTTGTTGTGGTGTTAGTAGTTCTTGATGATGTAGTTAGATCAACATTTTCTGGACAGAGATTTACTGTATTTCCACTTTTCAGCAATCTATTCAATGGGTTAAACCACAATATTTTTTCCGGGCGTGCTACCGCTTCAATATCAGATATAGGTTTCCCACTATGGCACATCTCAAAAGACTCGAGTCCATCATCTGAAGGAACAGGTATAACTTCAACCGATAATTCCTCTCCTAATTTTTGTCCAGAAGCAAGCTTGAAACTTCGAAATTGTCTCCTCATCGAGATCAATAGCATATTCAACATGGTTTGTGGACTTCGACAATCTGACTTGTTATCTTGGGGTAAAAAGAACTCCAATATGTATACACAGTCCCCGGTATAGGAACTCTGCAAACATATAGCAAAAGAGCTACGTAATCCAACTCTGTGTGCCACATGTGCCAATGGGTACTCACTCATCCGTAACTCTGTGATGTCACTGCAGAAGCATGAACTACGGGATAAAAAGGCCCTACCAACAACCCCCTGACTCTTCCCTAAGTGAACCATATCACAAGCAGCTCTGAACTCATAGCCTGCTGAAGTACATATGCAAAATTGTTCCTCTGCGGTCGTGAATCTTTCAACATTGCTTCTGTCAAGGATAGGTAGCCATGTCTGAGCTAGAGGTAATTGATGTGTTCTGCATATAAAATTCAACTGCTCCTCGATCTCTTTTAGGGCGCGTTCTAGCCCTCTAAGGCCCTGCTAAAAACAGAAAGTTGATGAAGAACTTTAGTTTATTTCCTTTAAAAGAGATACATTTTAGTCCCAGATGTTTTGTTTCCCGGTTTTGGATTGTCCTGAACATACCTTCTTGTCTGGTTGGTCATACATGTTTGATGATCTGAAGCCCGTCTTCTGTTAAGAACAAGATGCCATGCTCAGAGAAATTGAAGAGGTTATAAGGATTTAAAGAACATAAGCCAAACAAAGTCCTAAAGACCGAAGAAAGGGAGAAAAGAACAGAAATTCTTTTTAATTTTCTTTTCACTCCCCTAAGTCTCCTTAGAGGTTAAATTCTCATTTCCACTTCCTACGGTAGAGTGAGAAAAACTAACAGTTGTGCTACAGGATGGATGTCAACGGATCATTTGAAAGAAACACCAAACTGCTTTTGACTTTGTCTTATACCTTGAAACAAATGGAGCCTACTTCTTACGGATTCTCTTCTGCTTCTTATTTAGAGCGATGTCACATGCCTGATTGAAGGATAAGGTTTCAATCACATGTTTCCCGTAGCTAGAAATCATGAATACATGTTAAATCACCTCAAGAGAAAAGAAAACCGATACACAGTGGTATAGTTGAGGTGCGTATATAAACTGGCAAAGACACCACTGCTATAAGAAACAAGGAAAAGGAAAGGTATCTGCATATGCAGTCATGCACATGAGGTGTTATGGACCTAATTAAATAAATAAATGTATTTCCTCTCTAACAAGTTAATCTTTTTGGTAAGGCAGTCGCACAATTCAACATGGTAATAGCCTCATCTCCTAGTCTCATTGCCATCCTTAAACCAAAAGAAAAAACCAGCTGTGTGGCTTAACAAAAAAGAATTAAACCCGCACGTGAAGGAGAATATTACATCCTGATTTTAAAAGTAAATAAAAGCGTCTCTGTCTAACAAATAAAAGTGTCTCTGTCTAACAGTTTGAACTTTTAGATGATGTGGTTCACACAATTCAACAAGAGGCGCCACAGCAAGTAGGCTTGAATGTCTACTTGAGGACAATTTACAAGAAAAGCACGTGAAATGAATGAATAAGAATAATTTACTAGCTGTAGTTTCCTATGAAGAGAAAAGTTGTTTCAACTAATCACTAGAAAATTGTAGGCATGACTGTAACATTTTAAACACACCAATTTCATCACCAGAATTCATGCTCTTAAAAATATTTCCACACTAAAATCAAGCAAAGTTTCTTTCTCCAGTAGTACAACCTTGCCTTCCTCTACTGCAAAACTAACTCAAACAAACTGAGAGAGAGAGAGAGAGAGAGAGAGAGAGAGAGAGAGAGATGGCAAGAAAAGTAGAGAGGAAAGCCATACATTGAGCATCTCATAGACCATTTGAACAAGGTCTTGAGAGAAGCTTCCCTTCTTATCCCCTATGATCTCGAGTACTCCAGCGCATTCATTACTAAGAGGCTCAAAAACCGGTACAGCCAAATAGTTCCCTAAACCAGCAGTTAAAGCCGAGCCATGCTGAGGAAAATCAGCAACAGAATAGCGCGAAACATCCGGACTCATTTCAGGCAAACCATGTTTGAACACGCGTCCAGTAGGGCCAAGTCGATACTCATTCTCAGAACTATCAGTTACAATAGGAATTCTAACTTTCAGACACTCTGATCTATAAAAACAAAGTCCTTCATGGAGTTTCGTAAGACCAAAAGGTAGGTCACAAGTTGTTAGAAAAATATGATCTTTAGAAGTTACAGGTGCCCAAAATTGAACCAACCAGCATCCGAAGTTGTCAGAAATGTAGGCATTCTTAAGAGCAGATGTGATTTTCTCCTTAATGGTATCATGATAGATAGTAGTAGCAGCAGCTGTAAAAAGGTTGTTTATGATATTAGTCGCTTGACTCGTTCATAAAGATAGATATATAGCAATCATATTGAAAAACTGGTTAAGTTTCTCAATTGAAACTCCTTGGATGTTCAACTTAAAAGCGGAAGCGGTTACATAAGTTCAAAGACATCGCGGCCCTTTTCTCATTCCGAATCGTTTAAAAAGTCATTCATCTTATCTGAGTAACCAAATATTATCATTATCGAATCCTGCGGAAAATAAATTAAGAGATAATAGATGAAATAAATAGGCAGCTCGACCAATTCTGCACTTGTTGTATACATAAAAGAACAACAGTAGAACTTCAACATGATTGCATTAGTTATAGGACTAATAAACACAAGTTCAAGTTTACAATTAAGAATACTCATGGAGTGCTCTAAAAACAACATGAATAAGAATGGCAAGTTTGTTACTACTATTTAAACATAAATGTCTAAAGTTTTGTAGTTTCACTGCTCTAATCATATATTCTTACATTCTAAGACTTGGCAGCAGTTAAAGTTCCAACAAGTCGATGAAGAAAAAGTCCTAAAAAAGAAGCTCTGAGCTAGAGCTTTAATTGATTATTAGTCTAATTTCTTATTTTGATAACATTAAAGTCCAAAAAGTAATGAGATTTTAGAGAGTACAATAACATATACATGAATTACTAGTTTTGTACTCAACATACTAAACCCTATGTCCCAAAAGGTTTGTCACTTTTCTGCCCTCGTGATTTAAACTAAGTGAACTTTGATTAGGACTGTCAAATTTAACCCAAGCCCAAATGAACCCCCAACCCGTCCAAGGTTGGGCTGGTTATTGATCCGCCCATTTATTGATCTCAGCTCATCTTGACCCAACCCATCTCAATTTAAAGTTGGGCTGATTCTAGCCCAAATTGATCCGGCAAATTTGCCAAAATATCTTAGAAATAATTTGTTTTTTGTTTGATATGTTGTATATGACCATAACAAATTAAAAAAAAATCGTATTTAGTAATTATACAATTCATAAAAAAAAAACATTAAGTAAAACTTGACAAACGGGTTGGGCGACCCAAATTTTAGTCCATCTTGACACAACCCATCTTAGCCCAAGTAACATTTGGGCATTTTGACCCGGCCAAATTAGCCCAAATCCGCTCATTTGACACCCCCTAACTTTGATTAACGTTTAAAAGTTTAACCTTCCACCATCTGATTTCAGGTAATTTCTGAGTATCATATAATCTGGATACTATTAAATAGTGTAAATACCAATCCAATTGGAGCATAAAGGAAAAAAGGCACTTACTGATGGGAAATACAGTAGGGAACTCGTTATTGTATTGGCTCCAGAATATCCACAGCTCATTTTGAGTGTTAGGCTCAGTGTATTGCAGGGGACATGGCATGTAACTCAATGCTTCAGATACATTACTACATATTCTGAATGCTTCATTTTCACATGCCATTCCTAGACTAACTGTAGTTACTCCTGGACTAGCTGTAGTTACTCCTTTGCTTTTGTGAGAGATGAAATCCAAAATCAAAATACTTATCACAATATTCTTTTAAGAAATTGTGCAAAACAAAAGAAAGAAGGTGAATGGAAGGAAGGAGCAGAGAATATTCTGAGAGTTATTAATTACATTAGATTAAATTATACAAAGAACAAAAAAATGAGTTAGTGGAATTGTGGGCCCAACTGGCAAGGTTAAATAAACAAAAAAAGAAAGAAAATTGGAGCAAACCTTTTGGTTCTTTTCACCTAAAACAACTCCTTCAACACTTTTGGTGTAAACAACCTTTTGGTCTTTTTGGCCTAAAACAACCGTTTGAACACTCCTTATATCAAAATTTGAGGGCACAGAAGGCTGAATCTCAGCACCAAAGCTAGTCTACCAGCCGCTCGATGAAAATTGTAATTCAAGGCAAACACTTTTTTGAAAATAACTTTGCCACAAAATATAGAAAGTCAATGTGAACATTTGGAAAGAACCCAGGCTATAAGAGAGACCGGTTTGGCCTGCAACCAACAACAACAGTAACCTCAAAAAGAAAGAAAAAGAAGTCATTTGATTTCAAGAATGGAGAGTGTGTTCAGTGAACAAGCCTGGTCCCGCCAACCCAATGGTATATGGGTTTTTTGGAGTGAACGTGATGATGTAGAGCAGCTTCAGAATCACTTCTCCTTCAGTAAGAACTTACTATATTTGATTTTCTCATAAATTTTTGGACTTTTTTCTCATAAATTTTTGGACTTTCTATTTGCTCATGAATGAGGGAAGAAGAATTTTTGGTTTTTGGTGGGGTTGAAATTATTTTGATCTTTATACATGGGATGGGATGAGAGTCAGCCAAGTATTTTCTGAGATACACTGCCAAATTCAGCTTCATTACTTCAAAAATTTCTTCTTTTTTTATACTTTTGGGATATTCTAGCAATTTGTATCCGTTTTGAGAAGGATTCTTAGCCTAAATGGTAAAGTTATTGCCATGTGACCAATATGTCACATGTTCGAGCCGTGGAAACAGCCTCTTGCACAAATGCAGGATAAGGCTGCGTATAGACCCTTATGGTCCGGCCTTTGCCCGGACCCGCGCATAGCGGTAGTTTAGTGCACCGGCTGCCCTTTTTTGTATCCATTTTGACAATCATTTCCTTAAGAACTGTTGGACTTCCTATTTGCCCATGAATGAGGAGAAATTTTTTGCTTTGGTGGGTTAAATTATCTTGTTCTATCAGAAGCAAAAACATCAGATGATTTCTTCATATCTGTCCAACCCTTGGCGGACAACGTTACCCAATACCTGTGCTGGTGGGAGATAGCAGGTACCACGTGTAATTAGTCGAGATGCATTTAAGCTCGCTAGGGCACCACAACTATCAAATATTAAAAAAAATGTTGATCTTTATAGATGAGATGGGAATCAGCTAAGAATTTTCTAAAATACATTGCAAGTTTCACTCCCATTGCTTCAAAATTAGTTTCTTTTTGTTTCTTCTTTGGGATTATCATTAGTAGTACTGTATCACGGATTTGAATTCAAGGAAATTCCTTAAATTAGAAAAAGGTAACTTAATTGCTTTGGCCATCAGTAAAATTATTGCTACAAGCCTTTTACAAAACCTGGGAGTAATATTCTTTGTACTACCTAAATGTTGCTTTAGGCTACAAGTACTAATACAATATTTGTGTATGCCACAGCTGCAGATGTTGTTACTAAACGCATGGCAATCAAGGAAAGAGTTAAGATTGCACTACAACATGTAGAGAAATTATCCTGCAATTATCTTATTCAATACTGGGCTAGTATTGTAATTGATGGCCAAACTTTCCTAACAACTTCAGATCAGCCTTTTGGTCTTACCAGACTTGAATACGGACTATGTTCGTACAGGAAGAAGTGCCTGAGCCATGCAATTCCTGTTGAGCTGAAGAATGGTACCCAATGTGAAAATGACTTTGGTCCCCCCGGGCGTGTGTTCAAACATAGGTTGCCTGAACTGTGTACAGACGTGAAGAATTACAGCCAACAAGAGTTCCCTTTACGGGATGATGCTGTAGCCTGGGGCATACAATGGTGCTATACTGTCCCTGTCTTTGATTCATCTCGAGACACCTTTGTCGGGGTCCTTGAGTTGGTCACCAGTCACCAAACAAACAAATGGATATTTCAAAACTCTGTCTTGCCCATTTTCAAGATGCTCCAGGTTTTTACACATATCTTCAACTTTTTCCAACCTTAAATGTTGAACCTAGAGCTCATCTTGTTTGGCATCCATGATCCCTTTTAATGCACTGTTTTCCTTTCACCATTTCTGAATAGAATAAGAAGAGGTGCCAAGAAAAGAGGAAATGAAACTGTACACTGTATTATTCAACCGCTGTTTATTCTTTTCCACTTTTGACTTCTTTTTTTAGGTGGTGGATTTGAAATCTCCGGATTCATATTGTCCGCTTAATTTGAAAGTAAGTTGTCCAGTAGATCAAGCTTTTGTCAGTAATGTCTCCCTTCGGACCATATTTATTTCCTTTGGCTCTTTTTGTTTAAGCTTCAGCGATATCTCTATCTTGAATTCATATTAACAAAGACAGACTCAAGGCAGGTTTTGGATGACCGGCAATGTGCTCTTGGTGGATTATACAAGGCAATCGAAGTGGTATGTCAAAAACATCAATTTCTCTTTGCTCAGATTTGGGTCAGTGTTGCTGATTCATGGTGCACGGGAAAAGCTATCACTGTTAGACAACGACACATTGCAATCAATGATAACCAAAACTTAAGTTTATTCAAATATGCAAGTGGTCTTCAGTACATATTAGAAGGATACGGTGTTGTAGGCAGGGCTTTCTCATCAAAATCTTCATGCTTTTGCCGAGATGTAACACAGTTGAGCATAATAGAATACCCCTTGGTAACTTGTGCTCGCGAAGCTGGTTTAACTGGTTGTTTTGCAATCTGTTTAAGTGCTCTGGGTAATGATGATAATATTTACATACTAGAGTTCTTCTTGCCCCCAAATGAGCTTCTGCATAGGAATCTACAAGACTTCGTGAAGTTGGTTTTGGACACGGTGAAACAACAGTTGCACCGCTTTAAGGTTGCAGTTGGACATGATTTTGGAGAGAAGTTACCTGTTGAAGTCATCAAGATTTCTTCTGACGATGAACTTGATTCTTTTGATATCTGTCAAACTACTAAAGAACTGCATAATGTTGAGCCATTGCCAAATGGAGGAGAGTTGATGTTGCTTGACACACCAAATCAGCAGTCTTTTTCTTCCGAAACAAATCAGCAACTGAGTTTGGATATTGATGAGATAAATGCTGCAAGGGATAGCATAGCTGTAAGTGAAGAACTGTGCAATTCCGCTGGATCTTCAACTAGCGCTGAAACCTCACAAAACAAAGAAAGAAAACTGCAGCTGGAATTATCAACACGACAGGCAAAGCAGGGAGCAAATGCTGTGAACAAAAGAAAAAACGGTAAACGGACATTAACCTCTGAGTCAGAGATTCAGAAAGAAAGAGAGAGGATAGAACGAGATCATAACATCAACCTCAAAAAAATTGAAGACCGCTCGTCAATGACTCAAGATGCTGCTGCCGATGATTTGGGAGGTATCATAAACTCTTTCCAAAACTCTTCTGCTTGTATCTTTCTTCTTTCTTTAAGAATAGTACACATGAAGCAAATGTTCCATATAAATGATACTAACTAATTGGACTAAGGTTTAGTTATTGTTGTTATATTTATATAAGATCCAGTGTATCACAACCCAAACTCTAAGCGTGAGTCACCTTGCCCGCCCACAATATATCCACATCCATTAATCTGTCTCATAACGCTAGTATGGACCAAGGATTAACATAAGCAAATTAAGACATAACAATTGAGGATCCAACACTTAATGTAGTTCCAAGTCCATCATATTCTAGAGTCATTACAACTGTCTAGCTTAGTTCTTGCTGAGGACAAAAAAGGAAAGCATATCTAAGCATAGAACAATAAGTGGGGCTCACCAATGAAACACTCCGTCTCTACTTCAGCACCTATACAACTCATTACAATATCAAGTTCACAACATGTTCCAAGTCATTTCTAAGATATGCTCGAGGGGTCCGAGTATTACACCATGTTTGCGAAGAGTCCTTTTAACCTTTTAATCTAGTTAGAAGCTCCTATGTCATTTTAAGGTAATGTGTAAGATCTAAAGAAATTCTAGATTAGATTATCCCAAATTTGTCTTAAAAGGTAAATTGTTTACCAGTAATTGGAATGAAATGGACCCAAATTAAGTGAATGGATGCAGAGGATTCACCTAGCGGTCTCTAACTAGCTAGTATTGGGACGTAGTTGATCAATTGAATGATTTCTTTATCTTCTCCTTTCCTTTAGTCCAAATCATGTGTGTATTGTAGTTTAAGATTCACTGAAGACATTTTTGTACCTGGGATTATTCTAATGCAGTTGGCAAATCAACACTGAAGCGTATATGTAGATTATACGGTATAACTAGATGGCCACCCAAGAATAAGGAGAAGAAAAGAAAATGCTCCCACTCTCGTAAAATGAAATCAATCCTCCCTGCTGAGGAAGATGTCAATGCTAGTACAAAATTCCAGCAATCTTCTGATTCTCCTAACAAGGAAGACACAATTAATGGAGCTAAAGTTGGAGCACATGTTACAGAAATCCGAGATGGTACAGCTGTGATTACAAAGGTGAAATCTGGAGATAGGCTGCTAAAATTGCAGCTAACTCTTTCTTCTATGATGAAGGATTTAGAAGAGGAAGTGGCAAAGAGGGTCGAGTCATCGATTGAAAGTTTTGATTTCACGTATGTAGATAAAGAGGGTGATACGATATTGATAAAATGTGATGAGGATTTGACGGAATGTTTTCTACATTGTAGATCTTCAGAAAACGCGACTGTTAAGATGTTCATCACCCCAAAGTCTTAAATTATGCAAGTCTTTCTTTCTTTCTTTCTTTCTAGTATATGTAGTTGGTTAGCCTTTGAATCCTTTTCTCTCCAAATGAGGTTGGTAGTTCTTTTGTTGATGATATATGTCAGTTCACATACAGATGAGCACAAACCTTATTTTACAGCTGGAAGAGGTATACTTCAGTCCTAGTGGAAGTATAATGTCAAAGTAATCTTCCAAATTTCTACAGAGCAAGATAGTCTTACAATGTTTCCACTTGACCAGATTCTTTCTATTTTCAAGTTCCTATTTTCCTTTGGCTGTTTAAACTTGATGAAATCTGAGAGAAATACAATTGCACTTCAAATAATTGGAGAAGCTGCATTGGTTGCTACTTTTTTAATAACCACATATATTAATTGAACTAAGGTCAAAAATTGACAAAATTTAGGGTAAAAAGCCTACATGGTGGAAAGAACACATCCGTAAGTTGAGGCACGGATATTTCGCACTCTTTAAGGATTTAATCTCTCTATGCTCTCCACCTTTTGAAGGAGAATGACCACCTCCTTGTGCAATGAGACTTGAAATTTTAATTCAAAAAAATTTCAAGGGGTTATTGTCTTTTCTTTTTTCTTTTTTTATTAAGGGGTTCTTCTAATCTTTTTCAACGGCAAAGAGCAACTTAGGGCCTTGAAAAAGTTTGCAATTTTGAACCATATCTCATCAGTGTATTGAGATAGCTTTGAACTCTTTTTTCAAGAAATATGTTTTCATATGTATAAAAGGCATCGAAAGCATTTTATAAACTAGTGAAAATTAGTTTAAGTTGGATTAAAAAAAAGTTTGTTATCCAAAACTGTCTATATCCATAAGTAAAAACACCAAGCGAAGTAAAAGCACCAACCAAACATAAACAATAGCAGGTAGCCTAAACGACTCAAGCAAGTGTAGTGCCGTGAGTAAGGGAGAAGGAAGCCTAAAGGACTCAAACTCCCGTTATGTGCGGAGTCTAGGAAAGAACCAGACCACAAGGGTACTTACCCTTGCAAGAGGCAAGGAAGGAAGAGTTTAGTGAAGGAAAGTTTTGTGCTTCTAAAATATAAGGTAATAATTCAACAAATGATAGCTTGCAGATGAGATTTAGGATAAAGTACTTCTGATGTAATTGGGGAAGAAAGTCAGTTTGATAAGTCTAAACTCCCCCCACCCCACAATTACATTTGTTTCTCCAGCATGGAGGCCAAAATAAACAAGAGAGAAAAGAACAAAAAATAGAAAGAAAAACATATTAATCAATCATGGTGGAGTAGTTTCCATAAAAGAAAGGTACAAACATCAATGCACTAAATAGAGAGTTCATAAAACACATTTAATCAAGTCACTACCCCATACATAACTGCATGTCATAATAGCTCATAACTATATGTTCAGACAATTACAATCTGGTTAACAATGGTTCACATCATCTCTTAGGGGGCAGGTAGAGATGTGATATAAAGATGTATAGTACGGATAAGGACGAAAAACAAAGCAGAGATAGAGCTAGGATCTGAAGTTTGTGGGTTCTGAACTTGACATCGAACCCATAGCATATTTTAGTTACAGGGTCTACACAAAAGCCAGTGGATTCGGCCGAACCAGTAAAGAATACCCTACCTCCGCCCCTGAAAAAAAGAGGAAAAATAGAGAAAGACCTTGATAGCAAACAATACTGGGAAGGCATCCTAGACAAGCAACAAAATTACTATCATGACCACAAGGGCTCCTGCAGTTTTAGTGGATCTTCCATGTCCATAGTCACCTGCATGCACACCACTTCAGCTTGAGCAACTGCCAGTTGCATTTGGAGAAAGCTAATTTGGTTCTGCAAATACGATATAGCTCCAACACAACCATAAACTGGATCCCTAACTCTAGCATTAGCTTCATACACCATTGAACTCACGGCATCGCTCCGTTGATTCTCTGGTAACTTCTGCAAAAGTTCCTGCAAAAACAATGAAATCCGAACCTAAAATTGTAGAAATCTACTCGAACAAACAAACAAAATGCAAATAATACTATAGAGATGTCATGTGACCAGGAGATCACGGGTTCGAGCCTAAAAACAGCCTCTTGCAGAGATGCAGGGTAAGGTTGCTTACAATAGATCCTAGTGGTCTGGCCCTTCCCCGGACCCCGCGCGTAGCGGGAGATTAGTGCAACGGGCTGCCCTAGTAGTTATGGTATTCTTATGTAAAACAACAATGAACTATAGAGATGTCATGATTAAAGCCCTAAGCCTTGACAAAAAATACTATAGAGATGTCATTATTATACCAACACAAAGCTGGTTTAACTATCAAGAAAGAGTAAAGTACTTAACCTTAAAATTTCTGTTGTTTGTGTGTAAACTCACCTAGACAACACAAATGATCGGAACATTTCTCTAGAATTACTATGGAACAAATTTTTGAATAAATTCTTATGCACCACACCATGAAAAAGACAGATGATATGACTTTCTTCCCAAAAAACTTGACTCTTGGCATAATTCTCTTTACACTTCTTCCAACTTCCATTCTCTGCTTAGAATCCTAACGAATTATTTGCGAAAATGGTCTTTGCCTTTTCCATTTTTTTTAAATAATAGAAATGTACAATAATAACAACAACAACCCAGTGTAATCTCACAAGTGGGGTCTGGGAAGGGTAGAGCATACGCAGACCTTACCCCTGCCTTCAAGAAGGCAGAGAGTCTGTTTCCGAAAGATCATCGGAAGGTGAAAAAGGGAGGGGCAATAACAAACAAACCGATCTGACAACCGAAGTGAAGATACAAAAATAGCAATAGGTAATGCAATCAGAAAACCGAAACAAAGACAACAGCAAGTAGCAACAAAAGTCTAGGGATATGAAAAAAAACACCCACTGGTGAATCAAAGCTACTGTTACAAGCAAGGACGACACTCGGCTACCTAATAGAAATGTAATTTTAATTATAAGGCACCAAGAAAATGTATGGCAACTATTAACTAAGCATCACAAACACCATAAAATCTAGCCAAAATCTTATTCGACTACTAGTTCCAATCAAAGACCCCATGAACTTTGAGAAGTTCACTCTTTCTTTTACACGACCTTTTTGTAGACCCGTCCCACACAATAATTTGACATCTTTAGAAAACTAGCCATATTGACTGCATCTGTACTTTGTGCTAATTGCCTACATCAATAAAATCTCTTCTTTGTATCTGAATCTCGATAACCATTTTTAATGCGGAAATGTATATTAAAATGACTAGTCCTTGAATATATAGCTTGATGCCTTCTCCTACCGGACAAAGTGGCATCTCTTTTCCCATTTTTTCCATCCCACGAGAAGTCTCTCATTTTTATTTTTATTTTTATTCCCTCTCCAAGAGCTCCCCACCAGTGTTTAGAAAAGCGATCGCTTCGTCGCTTTAAGCGCGAAGCGACGCGACTCAGTGTCGCTTCTAGCTGCCTGAGGCGACTCGACCGAGGGAAGCGCACGCTTCAACGGAGGAAGCGACGAAGCGAGTAAAGCGACGAAGCGATCGCTTTTGTTAAAAAAGCGCAGAGGGCCCTTTTTTTAAAAAAAAAAAACTTTGGGTCTGTTTTTCTATTATACAAAACAGACCCTAAATTGACAAAAATTGGCCATTTCTTCTTCTCTCTTCTTCGATCGAGGTCGACCAAAGCCTAGGGTTCAACTTCATTGACATTGCTGACCAGTCCAGGTAATTTTCTTCTTCTCTTTTTTTTCTTTCTTCTTTCTTTCTTCTTCTTGGTCCCGTCAGATTCTGCTTTTTTTTCTTTCTTTTTCCTTCTTTCTTCCTTCTTCTTCTTTGTTTATCTCTGAGACTCTGACAGTCCAGTTTGCACTGTTCAAACTTCAGCGTCTTCTTCTTCCTTTTATCTCTAACCCATTTTGTTTTTTTTCCCCCTTTTATTCTTCTTATTTATTACTTTTAATATGTATTTTAGTTTATAAAATT